GCTCCAGGAAAAGAGAGACAAACAGCATCTTCCCAGTGCTGCGTAACTCTTCGGTATTGGAGGGGGTTAGGGTCAGTTAGGAAGCAGCACGTGGGGGACCAGGGAGCACTCATTTCCATGCTCAGCCCTAGTGACTTTTCCCTGGGTTGTGCAACTTTAGACTCCACTGTGGGATCCTTTCAGCAGGAAAGACAAGAAGGGCCAGGGCAATAGGCTGGGAAAGAGTTGGGCAAACAAGGGTGAGGTAGAAGAGTGGCAGTAGTCTGAGAGTTGTATTTTTGGTTGGGGATTATTTTATGTGTGAGGCTTTAGTTGGCCTGTTTATAAAATAAACCCAGCAAAATGTACGGTCTATTAAAACCTTCGTACAACAACATAGCAGGGTAATGTAATCTGCGCCCTCATTGAATTACTGTGAATTTTGCCTGCTAAATTAGAATTTTTATTCACCCTCTCTATGCAAAAATACTTTTTCAGCATTTTTGATGCATCTACTATTGTGTAGTGTAGCTGTAGTAGTAGTTATGGAAAAGCTATCCAGAAAAACTAAATTAAACTCTACTGAAATCTGTGTCTACTTAACACTGTATGTTTTATTCTTCTAACATTGCCCTGTGAAATACCAGCACTCCTGTATTAGGTAACACACACACTAGTGGGCACTCACCACCCCAGAGCACAGGGACAGATCTGATGAGGATCTGTGGGCACTTGGGGATAGGGGATATTTGCTGTTGTTCTCAAGGGCAAAATGAAGTGACTGATGGGATTTGCAAGAGCACTGGTTGCAGCTTTAGCAATCATAATACCTTTTAAAACCTGTCCCTGATCCTAGATAGACGAGAAAAGCAAAGAAGACTGGAGAAAAATGCCTGTAACTGTGTCCTTCCTAGAGGGCCTCAAAGGAGAAAGTGACTTTTCCAGAATTAGCTAGAGAATCTGAAGTAGCATTGGACTTTGAACCCAGATCTTGCAGTATGCTGCCATAAACACAGAACATAGAAATGCTTTTGGGCAATGAATGGGAGAAAGGGTCAAAAATGTAAAATAGTTCACAGCTTGCAGATGCGTTTTCTTACTCATTCCTCTCTGTTAGTGCTAAGTGTTGCGTTTGGGACTCTGTGAGAGCTGAAAGATTTATTTAGCTGGATATGATTTATTTATTCAGGTAACTCCCTCTGGTACTATTTATGTAGTTGTGCATTTTCATATTCCAGTAAGTCAGTAAAATGCAATGTGTTGATGTACAACGGGAATGTTAAGCAATTAAACGGTGTGTTGGGCCCCACTATTGTTGATTAGGTCATGCCTTAATTAAGTTTTCTGTATGTCTTCATATCTCTTGCTGGACATTTGGGCAGGCAGCAGGCTCTTAATGCTGCCACGATTTGGCAGTGGGACTCCTGGGTTACCGCCAGTCCTTGTACACAAAGATTGTGTTGATAGAATTACGATAAGGGCTCAGGGGGAGATAAGGGCTATGTTTTGGCCCAATGGCTTGACCTTGCTCTTGTTGATCCAACAGCAAGAGTCCTATAAATTTCAAAGTGATTGGGACACATTAATGCATTTTCATTCTGGAGAGCTGCATGCATGCAGATGGGAGGGACTGCTGGTGCTGACGTTGAGTGCAGTTTGTTGATACGCAGGTGCCTGTTCTTGCGCGAATCAGTCCTTCTTTTGGCACGGCAGCTTTATGTATCCGTATTTTATGTGTGAACACAATGTTTGTCAGGCACTTGTTTGGCAGTTCCGGAGACAGAAGTTCTCTGTACGCTGGGTGTCTGTCTTGGTGGTGCTAATTCGCAACCTATGTTGCAATGCTTGCCTGGGTATCAGAAGACAGGTCTCAGACACTGGTGAGTGCTCACCAAGCCTGTTAATCATGTCAGGCTGTAGCCACACAGTTGAGTTTGGTATTCTCATCACCTAAATTCCTAAATGTACTTCTAAGGCACACTCCCTTCTAACGCAAGCTGCCCAAACATCTGTGGCGAGAGTAAGGAAAACATGGAGAAAAAGACCCGAAGATGAATATTTCAGCACAAACGTGGGAAGGAATGCAATGTAGCTCACGCAAAACCTTCTGTAGTGTATGCCATAAATTAACACAATATAAATTTATACATATTTACACCACATAGACTAAAATATATAAATCCTCAATACTGAGCCTTCTGTAGTAGGTGTAAGCAAGCAGTCCATATGTTTAGCTGATTTCTGAGGAGCTCTAGGGAACAAAATGTATCTTTGTGGAACTTTTGATATTAAGGAGATTATAAACTAGGGTAATGAGTGCAGTTCTCAAAAAGGGTTGGCTTTTCTGCAGGCTGAAAACAAGCAGCCATCTCCTGATTTGCTATCTGAGGCTTTAATTCAGCCAGGTGCTAAAATACACATGTAACATTTAAGTGCATGAATAGTCCTATTGATGTTGAAGGCCTGAAGATCAATCCATTGGATTTTCCTGGCTTCAGGCTGCATGAGTCCATTTTTCTCTTGATTTGTATACTTTCATTGCAAATACCAGCTTGTAACATCTCATTAGGTACCAGGTGTTTCCTTTTCCACCATTTCACACTGCCTATTCTAGACCAGTTACTTGATAGCCCTTGCTTGTACAGCTGTGCAGCAGAGAATTGGATCTCTAATGTTTTTTCTGTCTCTGCTTTTTTAAATAAGGAGAGAAAATTTTTTTGTATGTTTAAGGTATGAGATCTGAAGTCCAAATGTCAGGATTCTCTTCCCAAGTATACCATAGTTTCGAAGAATTAAGGGAAATCACATGATTCATGAGTAATCTTTTGTGATTTCTGTGTCTGAAATGTTGGGAAACTCTCAATTTCGCAGGGGTGGGATGAGAAGGAGAATGAAGGAAAATGAGGAGAAGAAAATGGAGAAATTGTTTCTAAGTTTTAGGATAAATTGTCCTGACACATGTTCTTTAGCACAGAGACAGTGAGGTTATTTGCAGCCTCTCATTTTGGTCACCTCTTCACACAGGTGCCTATGATAGCTTAGATAGTCTCTGGAAATGGAAAGAAACCCTTCCAAAGTAGAGTTTTCTGGTGCTGTTGTACCAGTACACCCTCCACCTCACACTGAGGTTCTACTTCTCAGCCATTAAAAAATGCCTCCAGAAGTATCTTATCAGGCCTGACGTGTCCAAACCACACCACCAAGGCAATGGTCTAGAAACACATGCTTAGTGTGCAAGGTATCAGCACAGAGGGTGCAGGCAGGGCTTAGTGGGGACAAAGGTCTTCATGTGTTTGTGATGACTGCGTCCTACTCTGTGGCTTTACTACTGGGAGAAATTCCTAGTAGAAATATGAGCAGATAACAGCAAAACTTGAAGAGGCTGGGTTCATGCCAGCTGCTGTATGATGCTAGTTTAAACTTCTAAAAATATCAAAAGCTGTGTACATTAAAGAGACAGAACTAACCTGCTGAGCCATCTCAAAAGGCATATCAGTGTTTCCTGCAGCTGTATAACTCCTTCGACAGGGTTGCAAACAGCAAGCTTCTCATCACCTATGACTCTGCAGTCAGGGATGAGGACCCAAGACCCAGATGTCCTTCTCCATCACTTCAGTGATAGAGGCAGACAAGGACCCAATGGATGGGATACTTTTCATAGGTCAGAGCATCCTGCCCTACCTTTCCTTCCAGGCCATGGAGAAACCATGAAATGAGTGAGCAACAAAGACTGTCTTTCTAGCGTACTACAGTGCTTGTGGGTGTCCTAAAGTTTCATCTCCTCCTGATGGAAGGATGACTGAGAGAAGCAAAGGCAAGTGGACTTTGATGTGGATGATATTGTAAGGAATACCGGGCAGCCAGAATTAAGCAATTAAATTTTGGGCCTTAAGGGAAAGAAGTAGTCATGGAAACTCCCTGTTTCATTGCAGAAAGTGAACCATGGCCAGTATGCTGAAGAGGGTCACAAGCCTTTTTGTTTGCAAAGCACTAGGAGCCAGTGTCACTTCACATTACAATAAATCTAATTGTCTGTGTTGCTGATGGCCAATCATAACATATGTGATTGCAGCACTCAGCACTGCCCCATAACCTCTCAAAATACCTTTTCTTTTCTTTTCTTTCCTACTTGCCTCTAAGAACATAGTTAGTCCCATCCCTTGGCATATGTACATGTACAGACCAATTATTATGGCTGCACTGTCTGCACAAGCTGAGATGACAAAATGTACTCTCCTGACTTAGGGGGCTTGCACCTTGTTGGGACAAGGCTGGTGAAACAACCGAAGTGAGTAACTGCCTTTGCACAGGCCTCTCTCCTCTTCCTTGCTTATACCCATTAGCTCAGTGAAGGACAAGACATTTCAATGGGGCTGCGAAAAATAAGGCTTCCAGTTGCTCTCTCCCTTTGTCAGCGTTGAGGAAAGACACAAACCACTTGCTCTTTCATAAACATATGGGCACAAGACCTTTAGCTGAACACTATTTGTCCTGACTCTTTACGTGGACATAAGTGCTTTGCTTTAACTGAGAAGGAATCAACTAGAGGGTCAGAAGACAGTTCAATCTTTTGTTTACTTTACTTCATCCTATCTGCAAATTTATACTTGGCCAGCTTTGTGCTATCTGAACAGTCCTAGTCTAGTGTCATCAGCCTTTGACCACCAGTGGAATGACTAGCAAAGATAGTCACAGACTAGGTAGTTGTGAGGCACAGATTTTATCCCTGCCAGTTGGACTAACAAGCTTGCTTTAATATCAGCACTTGAATGAGACATGTCTGGTAACCTCTTTTGGTAAGAGACTGGCCAAGAGAGATCAATAAAGAATGGTTATTTACACATCTTACGAACCAGTGATAGGAGTGGATCAGTTTTACACATTGTGTCTAACTGGATGCAAGCTCCTTGGAGAAAAGAAAGCAGCACACAATGAAAATGCAGAGGAGAAAGCTAATGTGGTATGTCTTTTAAGGGTATTAAGACAAACCAGTTAACTCTTTTTTCTTTTTTTTTTTCCATAAGAAATATCTTTGGTGTCACTCCAGGGGTACTAATGGAGTCCCAGAGGAATGAATTTCAACCCTGCAGTCTCAAGAGTTGGGCTTCCAGCTGGCTATGTACAGAGGTACTTGGTCTAAGTGTTGTTCTTACTGGAACAAAATCCCCTTGGAGTGATTCTCATCTAGTCCATAGGGAGAACCCAACATGCAAGTGCATTCCCACAAATGACCCAGCGTTAATTGTCAAAGGGTAAGACTCAGCAGCATTCAGAAACTCTCTCCCACACACAATTCCCTTCTGCTGCCCATCCTTTGCCAAAACCCAGTCACAGGTGCTTTGGCGTGACTCTGTTACCTGTGTTTTGTTACAATTTGCTGTTCTGTTCTGAGGGAAATTGGTAAGCAGCATGAGTTTACATGGAAAAAATGTTTTTTACGTTTTTTCCTTTAGTTGCGTTTCTCCCCTTTGTTTTGCTCTGTACAATTATTACTGTATTGTTTGATTACATTGCCCTTTTTTATCCCTCAGTGCAGACCAAGCATGCTGAAAATGAAAGGCAGCATGTAACCTTCTGAAGTCACTAATTGTAGTACTGCAGGTGAGTTGAATAACAGACTATTGTAAATTTTGGTCTGAAGTTCTTTGCTGTATAAATTGGACAACAGCAGGAGAGAGAACAAAAACTATTTCCTACCTGATGTTCTTGGAAACCTGTTCCCAGTTCTTTGTGGAGGACTGCTGCTATACTCAAATATATTAAACTAGGGACACATGAATGACATTGATACTCTGCAGTGGAAATAGCTGAGCCTTTTGTATTTATCACCACTGCATGAGACTTATAATAATCTGCTTCTTTCTCTAAATGGAAACCCTCCAGGGAAGTTTTGTGTACTCTAAATAGCATATGATGAGAGACTTGGCTTCATGTGCATGTAATGCATAATAGATAAAGATACAAGAATATAAATGCAGATGAGAGTTATTCAGTCAAGGCAAGCATGTTTTGAGGGTGGGGAAGGCATGGGGACAAGAAAAATTATAAAAATGCCAAACAATACAGTATTGCTGCTACCCTTTCTGGCAAATCTCCGTATTTTGCCAAAATGTTTTCGAGCAGCAAACAGGATCTGTCTCATAAAGTACCTATCTCTAAACACTTACTGTCCTTATGTGTATACTCAGCAGATAATCACTTCTCTCTAGCCTTGTTGCATTGAATGTTGTATAGCTACTTTGAAGGGATCTCAGTGATGAAAATAGTCTGCAAAGAGAGATGGATACAAACTTTCAGAAGAATACTAATATCCTCAAAACTACGCGTGAACAGTAATTGATCAAACCCATTAGCAGCACTGGGATGTGCATAAAGTAGCATTAATCTGTTTTCTGTAGTCACACAGAGAAAAGACCCCCAGCTTAATCTCAGCACAAAGAGGTAAGTCTCAGCTTTAACTTCAGTAGAGCCAGTGGCTTCTTATTTGAGTAAATAAACTTCATTTCTCTGGTTGTTCAAGGGATGGTCAGAGAATTGTCTTTGCAGTGGTGTTGTCTACATAAAAAAGCTAGTGTGCATGATGCTCAGGTGGAAACTGATGGCACATTAGCTGTGTGGACTAATTCTTTGTGTAAGTGTTCCAACAACTCCCTTTTTAGTGGTAAGAAGGCGATCTAATGCTCTTAGAGAAGCATCTCTATCATCTTACTGCTACTTCTATCTTTTTGTGAAGTTGAGTTTTCTTTTTGTCTCCGTAAACTGTATGATAGAAGAACCAATGACACGTGGCCATGAGCATTCATGGCCATTTCTGTATGACCATGAACATATTGCAGTGAGTATGGAGGAGCAAAGGTAATTTCCTCTCCTTAGGTGAAAATTATGGTACAGTTATTCAAGAAAAAGGTGAGGGGGAGAAACTTGCTTGTTACACTTCTCTTTTTGACCCAGTTGACGTTTCAGAGGGAATCAGTGGTTACAGCAAGAAACCACTTCCTATTTCTGGATGAAAGGCTCTGTAATAGGAAAATAAGTTCTTTTATGGCCAATTGCAAAGGAACACATATCCATTCCTGCAGCAACAGCAGATGTACATGTTTTGTTTGACCCTAACTACATGACACAGATTCAGGCAAGCAGTGAACTTAACAGGGATACCTCACACCAAGCTCCAATCCTAGGCCTGGAAAAGTGCAAGTCCGAGCATTAAGTGTAACTAAGGACCTGCATGTATGTGCACAGTGGGCTGGCTATGGGGAGATATATAAGTTGCTTTGAATTTTCTCTGTTTATAAAACTTCCGTAGTTTGTAATCTCAAAAAATACGCCTTTTTTTTTCAGTTGAAATTCTTTTTGGCTTTGTTGGGGATCTTGCTGCCAGAGAAGACCTAGGCACACCCACCTCAAAGCTTTTTCCAAATCAGGATCTCATCACAGACTGAATTTCAGATTTTCCTCGATTCTGTGTGAAAGGCTTTGAATTCATACCTTTTTACGTATTCTACCATGCTATTAGGCATTGCTTGATGAAATGGTACATTCATTATCTTTTTCAAATTTGCATAAACAACCTTTAGTGGAGCAAAACCAGGAACTTAAATGCACATACTCTGGCCACTGGCTAAGCTGTCATTCTCTGTGTGCACTCCAGCCCGGGAAGACGTTAAATGTTTACAAGCAGCTAAAACAAGAGGTTTCACTAGAGCTCCAGGTTCTGCTATTTAGAGCAGAGGCAGAAAATTGAACTGGTGAGAGACTAAACGAACCTGATGGTTAGGGCTCTTCTCTGCAAGTGGAAGCTCCTGTGTTCCCCTGCTAGTGAATGCGTATTTGTGCAAAGTTGAGAAGAGAGTTTGAGGGTGGCCCAGCACAGTGGCAAAGGGATGCTACCCAGCTGGTAGCATAGTGGTAAAGGGATGCTCCCAAATAAGGAGTCTGTTGTCCTTAGACAGAAAAATGAATTATCCTGATTGCTTGAGTATTTTATAAATGGGGTAATTGTAAGTAACAGTTTTGTGAATAGTTTTCTGAAATAGGATACCCATTGCTAGATGAAACTAGTGGGTGAGCTCAGCATACGTTTGCATATACTTCGGAATAATCCAAGCTGCATTCATCAGTGAATTTGCTACTTGCTGAATTCCCTGCCTAATTCAGGTCCCATCTCACTTTGTGGTAATTTTGTGCATGGTAGTATTTTGCTCTTTTCTGTCAAAGCAGTTTAAAAATGAAAATAAGAATCCAGAATGGCCTTTAAAGCCCTTCATACATGGAAAGCCTATTGCCAGTGCATCTTGGAAGCCAAGTTCTGCCTTTAACCAGCTTTTTATTGACCTCTAAAGGAGTCTTGGACTTGTATCTTGGAATAGAATTTACCAGTGAATGACCACCTCAGTCATGCCCCCTCAGGTTGCAACAGGTGTTGGCACCACAAATTATGTCTTCACAGAAACCCAGGAGCAGACAGATGAATGCTAGCGGGGTTTGCCACCCTGAGAAGCCAGACAAGAGTAGGGTAAGTTTGAGTTAAGAGGCTCTTAGCACCAGAGCAGTCTTGAATGATGAAATCAACTACAGAAGCAGGGTTTATTCATGCGGGTGTAATTGCAGTGTGCTTAAATCAGTTTTGAAGGTGGAACTTCAGCTTCTAGGTCTCGTCAGAAATTTTCAAAAGAACCTACCTCTCAGAGCTACTGCCAGTTTTCCTATTGTGTGCATATACAAAAATCTCATTTTGAATCTTGATAAGTTCTTGGCTTTAATAATGTCTCAAAACTGCAGGTTTCCTAGCTTATTTATCATGCACTGAATAAAAAAATTTCTTTTGTTGTTGGTAAATTCACTACCTTTCAGTTTCCTTGAGTATCAACTTGCTTTGTATTGTCTGAGGAGATAAAGGGGAACACCCCACTTAACCTCTCAACATCATTCTCTGCTCCCTTTTCAAGTAATTTTCGTGTGCCTGTAATACTGTATAACTTGTATAAATGCTACCTTTTAAGAGAAAATAATGCAATCTCTCAGTATCCATATAATGAAATCTCTCTGTTACATTCCACTGCCTAATAACGTTGTGGTTTTTTCCATTGAGGGATGCCTTATTCGGTCGTTCTGACAAACTGCTGTTTTCTTGTAGCAAAATTTGTTCGATGTAGTGTTTTTACTGTTTTGTCAATAAGCAAAAGAAATAAAAACCTTATGGGATTTGAACAAGAACATTCACACTCCGTATGTGAGCTGCGTTTGAATTGGAGTGTGGTGGGGAAGCAGAGTATAGTATGCAACCTGTTTACTGAAGTGCATGCCAGCAAGTGAGATTTCATTCCCACTTGCTAGGATCTCACTTTGGACCCATTTTCTCTCTCCTTTCCTTTGCACTGCTCCCTCACAATGTCTGATGCTGGTAGCTTATTTTGTTTTAATTGCCGGGTTTGGACAGAGCTCTTTTTTTTAAGTGTTCATCCTAACAGTGGACTTACAAGATGAAATTATGCAGTATCTGCTGTAACAAAATGATCTAGTAAGACCTGCCATTCCTTGAGGCAGTATCAGTCAATTGGGAGTTCAGTAGAAGGGAAGAGGTGGATCTATCTCTGAGCAGAGTACTTGGAATCTCTCTGAATTTAGGCCATGTCTACAACTAAATTTCAGCTTTTTGATGATGAATTAATGAATTATATGAAATTGTGAATTGGAACTATTCATTTTTTTCTAATCACACGAGGAAAATATTGAATGCAGGAAACCTGAAGTTGATTCAAGTGGCGCAGTGTTATATAATACGTATTAAGCCTGTGGAAGGCATTGCCATGAGCTATCTACAAATGCTTCTGAGGAGATAAAGATCATCCAGAATTGCCTTAGATAAGATTTAAACTGTTCAGGGAACTGTGAGTTCAAAATGGAGTAAGCCTTTCATTGATTAGCCTCTGTTCTTACGCACCAATTATTCATTAACTGACCATGTCAGGTAATATTACATACTTGTTTCTGACCACTCATTGGAAGCACACCAAATGGAATAGATTTTATGCCACTTGTCTGGTATGATGCTGCATTTTCCGTGTTTGCTATCAATTGTGAACTTGGACAGTTTCAAATTATGTTTAGTCTATTTTGATGTCAGTGTTCCCTATCTGTAGAGACTGACACAGCTCCACCTACCTAATAATGAATATGTTAATTGACTCCTATTGGGCACCTAAATATGGCTCCAGAGCCAGGGAAATAGTAACAGCTGATGGCCCTTTGGGGCATAAATGGTTTCTCACTATGATCAATATTCTCCACTGCTGAAAACACTTCTTACTTTTTTGGACTTCCACTCACTTAACTCTCCCTCTGGCAGTTGTTTACAATACTGAAGTGCAACAGAGAGTTAAAGAAGGATAGCCTTAAAAGCTGCCTTAATGACATCTATAGGAAAATCGCCTAACTCAGCTTTCATCTTCAGACAGAAGGTCAGAGCTCACAGATTTTGTTGTTAGGCAGCTTCTATTTTGACCCCTTTGCCCCCGCCCCCTGTCCCATCTAGCCAGTGGGTTAAAAGGGTACTTAAAATACCCAGTATATTTCTTGATGCATCAGAAGTCACAGCTACT